AGCTATTAGTTAAGTTCTCCCCAAGCGAGCTCAATGGGCCGAACGGCCTCCTCTCGTTTGTATAGTTCTTATGTTCTTAACTATAATTGATTATAAAACTTCTGATTACCAGCAGGACCAGCACAAGGCATAAGCAAACTAAGCGGCTGCTTAGGTCCCAGCAGCCACTAGGGGGCCCCCTATCTGATCAGCCTGTCACAATGTGAAGGAAGATGACAAATGACAACTAGGTTAATTAAATTTTGCTCTGGACCCAGAAAATGTTTGGGCTGGGCCTGATTAGCGTTTTTTGGCTTCTAAATGGAGAACCAGCAGATTTCTCCAGTGCATGTCTATTTACAGTGTATATATAACACTGAGGTGCTTGTCTACCATGCCCTGTATTGTTCTCTCTCACCTCTCCCCTCTATCTCTCCCTTTCCCACTGCTGTGCCTGTTTCATTCCCTCTTCCATGCCCGTTCTGCTCACCTGCCGGGCCTTTCTGAGAGCAGGTGAGTCCTGGGACCCAGCACGGTTCATGTCAGCGCAGTGTGCAGTGCCCTCGATGAGGATGGCTCTGTCTTTGTCCTCCTTGGTCCCGTTGCGCACCACACTGAGCTTGTGCCATGGGTCGATGTCACCTGGGAGAGGGTACAGGCTATGCTGTCGTGGATCCTGTGGCACAGAAAACCCTTACGGCACAAGACACCCAATACACAACTGCGTTAGTCTTTCACTGTTCACTTCCAATAAAAGTTTCTTCTACTGGCTGCACTAAATCAGCCAGGACTGCACTGCACCATTGATTAGAGTCACCACTTGTCCGGATTTTGTGCAGACGGTGTGGGCTTTCAGCCCTTTGTCCAGACTGCTGGTGGGTCTCCTCCTTTCAACCTCCTTGTCCTCCTTTTTCACTTCACCCTATCCGCCTCCCAGTCACAAGCTAGTGCTACTCTCTCCAACCCCAACTGCACAAAAAAACGTAGGTCACCCGCACACACATACTATGAAAGTTGAGAACAGCCTTGCGTTTATAGTTAGTTTTGTATGCCGTTCTCTCAAGATAACGAGATGAATATAGAGATAGATATACCATTCTCTGTTTCCATAACATGTGAACGAGTGTACAAAAAGGACTGCCCCCCCCTTTAAAGCCTTAGTCCTCCCTCTTGGATACAGATGTCTTCCATTTTAAGCCTTAGTCCTCCTATTTTGACACAGGTGTCCTCATTTCTAGAGTCATCCTGGTGGTTACCCTACCATTGACGTACAGCACCCTCTGCGTCTGGGGGTGATCGCCGCCATAGAATTGGTTGGTGAAAGCGATGCGGGACTGTAGGCTGCCCTGAGCTATCCCGAACACCAGGGGGCAGAGTTCCATCTGGGACTGCAGAGTCACCATGCGTGCAAAAGGACAGCTGGCATCCTCGCAGGTCTCGACTGCACACAGGGAGAGGGCTTACCAATAAACACGGGAATGGCAGATGGACAGCATCACAGTGGACACCTTGTAAGCTGGCACAGGGTTTGAAGTGACATCATTTTCTCGTGGACCACCAGGGGGCATCATAGTACCACAAGCATTAAAGTTAAAAATACCCTCTGACCAGATCATCGACCTTCTTAACTGGTGTATTTTCCAGTGATCTGTAAGTCATCTGCTTTGCAAACTCCATTCACCCCCTAAAGATCTTTCATGGATTCTCCCAGAGCACATATCAGAGGCCACAGGTGCACAAGCGAATGACCTGCTATTAAAGCTGCCAGTAAATGAGTTCTATAAAGTTTTTTTTTTTTAAATTATTTTGTACACTGCAATACAGTTTGGTGAAGTTCACACAGCACTGCACAGGTGAGCTGTGGTGTGTGGGTAACCACTCACAGAAGCCGAACTCTGTGCAGCTCTGGTAGTACCACTGGCGATAGCCAAAGCCGGAAGACTTCAGGTCGGTGTTCTGGAGCTCCAGGACGGCCTGCTTGTGGGAGATGATCAGACAGGGCTCCTCCACTGCTGCACGATAGATCTGACATGTAGAACAAAAGGTTTTCTTAACAGAAAACTCTGTGCTGAGTAGTTGCAGTTTAACAAAGTCGAGCCAATAACATGAAAATGAACCAAAATTATAAAACAAACTAATTAATCTCATTCCTTGTAGTTATGGGTAATGTGAGAAGACTGAAGGCTGATTTTCTTTGTAGAGTTTTGGGTGCAGGATGTTGTATTCAATCAGGTATCATTCAATGCCGAGGTATCACCTCAAACTAGTGCAGTGCTGAGGTATCACCTCAAACTGGTGCAGTGCTGAGGTATCACCTCAAACTGGTGCAGTGCTGAGGTATCACCTCAAACTGGTGCAGTGCTGAGGTATCACCCACTGCACTCAGGTTCTTATTCCTAAGGTGGTTCGTCATGTGGTGGGTGCAGCAACTCATCATATTGGTGTGTGCTCCTTATCCCATTCAGGAGTGGCGTGTGTGAGTGTATGACTCTAGAAATATATATATATATATATATATATATATATATATACTTACACACACACATATATATATAAATTTAAGTATAGTATATAGTTCATAGACAATTTATTAGTTTATTTATTTAGTTCCATTCTTAAACCCAGGGAAAATGTAACCAAAAAGATTTTTGTCCCAGGAAAGACTGATGAGAAAAGGGAGAGGTTTACTAGACCTGTCAAAAATATGCTACAGACGATGAGGGGATTGGATTAAAAGTTGGATTATGAATCACATTCGCATCATCCAGGTGGGTTGCACACAGTGGAGGTGGTTCAAGTGGTTCCCCATTGGTTCTTAAAGCACTATATGAATATAACATTCATTCTTTCAACAGTGTTAGCAAAAATGTGGACTAGCCGGGGGTGCTGAAGGACTGGATTGGGAAACACTATAATAGAACGTACCATTGCCAGGTTGACCAGCCTGCTGTAGGGCCCCTCCCCCTGCTGAGTCTCTTCACTCTTATTGGTCAAGACGTCACATATCTGGCCAATGGTCAGCGGCCCTCCCTCTTTATTGTACTGCACAGTTCCCATGAAGATGTCGGCCAGGCTCTGAACCAGCTCTGCCTGGTCCTCCGGCTCCACTGGCGGCTCACAGCAGCTGAAGTCTTTGCCCACCTTTGTCACGTTTCCCTCCAAGAGAGCAGTTTCCAGAGCCGCAAACGCCTCCCACACTGTGCCTAGGCACTAATGGTCAGGTCAGCCACGCACAAAAAGCACAACACAGTAAGCAGATTGATATATGGAGATGCATGCACCAATAATAAGGGGAGGAATGTTGAATTTATGCAAATACATCTGTAATAACACTTCATTATATAATAACTCAACAAAATGTATCAAATTTTCATTAGATAATGCTGTGTTATTACATGTGTTGTTACACATAAAGTGAAATTTGAACAATTAAAGGTCAACTCATTTATTCTACTTCATTAAGACTAAAAAAACTATCAAAAATCCTCAAACTATAGCAAACTTGAACTGGATTCCAGGAGGGGCTGAGTGTTGAATTTCCCCATAGTCATCTTTGTTTTTTCTCTGTACTTTAATACTTACAAATAAATTCTGTAATAAATTATTACATATTGCAGTGTGTGACAACTCATTATGTAATGAAACCATATTATGTAATAATTCTACATAATACAACAAATTGTCATTAGATAATGCAGAGTTATTACATAATGCATTGTTACCCAGTGTGTGACAACATATTATAATGTCATTACATACTGCAGTGCTACTACATAATGAGTTGTTCCAAAGGAGGCACAAATGCATGCATTTGTTTAACAAAAATAATTTTTAAAATAATTTTTAAAACAGCACCTTATCAGAGCCCCCAACAGCTTCATTAGTAAGACTTTCACCCACTACCTGAAATGTGCAAATTCTGCTGTTACAAAGCATGTCATGTTAATAGATGCCATTTTAAATCAACTACAGCAAATGTTCATTACTACATGTTCTATCTGCTATAATTTCAACATTAATTAAAGTATGTCTGGAAAAAAATACATGGTACTTAATTGGGATTTTTATTCACTTAGTGAATGTTAATGTTTATTTGAATACGTGCTATCAGAGTACCTGGTTGTAGGTGGAGAAGTCTAGCATGGCTTTGACGGGGGCAGAGGAGGCCACAGCACCATAGATCAGGTGAGGAAACTGAGGGGGGAGGACGACAAGTGACATCATGTCAAAGAGCCACAGCACAGCCTTTCACCATGTCATACAAACATTTGTCAATGGGAAGCACAGTGTGCATGATTTAGAGGTCTGATTGGCAGCAATCACGCCAATCATACAGTTTCATTTTACTCAGGGGTGGGGGGGGGGGGCGTATTACCTTGCCACGAAGCCAGGCAGACAGGGCACCAGCGTAGGAGCCTCCAAAACTGATCCAGGTGTTCTGTGATGACAGGTCATAGCGTTCGCTGATGTATCTGTGGAAGGCGGCCAGGTCCACCAAACTCAAGAGGAAAGGAGGACAGAAGAATTACGGGCTGCAAAATGGTGCTCTTCACCTGTAGGCGGTGTTCTTCTCTGCTTCACCAACATCCATGATACGTGTGTTTCCCACCTGCCATTCAAAGGCAGCCCTAACCACGGCACTCACGCCTGACGGCTGGAGAGGTGTCTCAGGTTCACTACATCCAGGCCGTCGGGGTTGATGCTACGCCCGTAGAATCTGTGCTCTAGCGCCACAAGCAGGGCTCCATTCTCCTCTGCCATCTGCACATGATGGCCTATGTTTGCAGAAATGGGTAGATCACAAAATTCAAGCAATAATAGTTAGCTTCTGTCGCTAACTGGCTTTTTGATTTGTGTGCATAGTGTGATTCTACTTGATTTCATTCACATATCTGTTGACGTCGGACACACCATAGAGCACGGATAACTCTGAGATAGCACCTTCTCCACCAATGTAGAGGAATACTGGACCATCGGGACGATCCCAGTACTCCTCATTGACAAAAAACCTCTGTGAGAGAATTCATCAAGTAACGCAGGTTAGTCGAGAATTACGATGACATTTCTCAGTACTGCACCAACTTCAGCGTGTGAATTTATGAAGAGAGCAAAGAACTTTGCTAATGGCAAAGGATGAGCAAGGTCACTGACTATGTGTTAAGCCTGAAGGGACATTCATCGTGAACTGCACATCCAGTACAGGGTGGCATGGAGCCTGGGGTATATCCTAAACAGGAGCTCATGGGAGTTTTACTTACACAAACATGTTCTGAAGGCAGAATGAAAAATGATTGGTTCAGAGAGATAACCAATCAGATTGTTGAGGAGGTGGGTCCAAGCAACTAGAGAAGGTGGGGCCAACCAATCAGATGTCCTGGTCCGGTCTCTCCAAGTTTCTTAGATCCACCTCCTCTGCAAACTGATTGGTCATCTCTCAATTATTTTTCTTTCTGCCCTCAGAATATTTTTTTTTTGTAAGTAAAACTTCCACTAGCTGAAAGCCATGCCAGTTTATAACAGGGCACATTCAAACATAAAGGGTAATTTAGAGACACCAATTAAACCCTATCTGAATACACAGAGCCAGGGGGAAGAATCTGATCCCTCAACCCTGGGTTTGTGAGGCTACAGAGTGCTAACCAATGTGTCACTGCTTGTTCTTTGTAGAACATGAAATGGCTTATGAAAGTATCAAGTAAGGAGTTCTGTTGGCCTTGTGCATGCGAGCATCATATAAGCTTGTGAGGGAACATGTGAGGGAACAGGTTTGTATACTTCTGCATGCATCTTTGCACCTGAGGAATGGTCTGTGTGCTCTGGCTGTCAAATTGGTCGAGTGGCTGGCGGATGAGTCCTTCTTTGACCCGATACGTGGGCTGGTGCCCGGTGGCTGAATGCTGCAGCAGATGCTGCTTCGCCTTTTGGTTCTGTGCCCGGAACACGTTCTCTTTTATCTTCCTCAGAACCTGTCCTGGAGGAGGCGATATTTTTAACTAGAGGACAATGACAAAAAGGAAAAACATGGACAGAGAACAGCCGATGTTTTCAGCTATTCTTTGGGATAAATTATTGAAAAGGTGGCAGATTGCTGCTTGTAGTGCTTGTATAATCTGCTTCTTTTGTACTTTGCTGTGGACAAAAGGTGTCAAATAAATGTAAATGCTGGAAAAGTAAGTAAGGAAAAACAAACATCATTTGCTTGCCACGGAAACTGAAGCCTGCAGATCGTGAAATTATGAATTAATCTGTAACCAACTTGAATCTAAAATTGTAACTGTAACTCTAGTACAGTACTTTTCCCCAAAAGCTTTCTTTATATTTTAATAATTAATATTTTATTTCAACATGAGCAGACTTGTAAAGCATTTCTGCTGATTTATTAGGTTAACTCTGCAGGATCACATTTTACAAAAGGTTTACAGTTACTCTTTATCCATTGCCTTCTGTTTAGGCATTACGACCTTTACAAAACAGCGCAATAAAACAGAATATGAATCCATCATAATGCATTATAAAGTTATTTATAGTGCATTTGGGAACTTTCATAATGCATAATAAACATGGCTAGAATGTTATTTTTTTTATATAAATATTTATAGCCGTGTTTATAATACTTTATTAATGCATTACAATGTATTATGAAGGTAACTGGTTTGCAGTCATATAACTGCTTTAAGTAAAGTTTTACCCATTTTACTTGTAACCTTTTATCCTTGAATAATAAAAGTTCAGGGTAATAAAACCCAGAAAAAAATGGACTGAAATTCAAGGACAGGTCAACAGTATTCAATTGTTAGATTTTCTGATGGACTTCAGTTTTCAAAGCTGGATGAAACATTAACTCACCTGAATAGGCGCAGCCGAAGAGCAGGACTAGACACGCACACCAAAGCAGAGTAGAGCGCATGTTGATAAACTAGTACAAGTTAATAGATTTCTAGATTCACAACCTGATAATCTGCCTAAACGATCCGGTAGCTGGTCTGCATTCTGACTTCGGGAAACAGCACTGTACAGATACTGCGGTCGGACTGTAATGGATGAACTGTACAGTACAAGCCGATGCTTTTGCCAAGTGTAAGTTACATTTGCTCAGCTTAAGCATCTGTAATTTTATATTTTACCAAAGAAAGCGAAAGTGGGCTGTGTTACAACACGAAAAGGTGCAAGGCATGCACTCCTATAGTGCACCTCATCTACTGACCTCAGCACAAACAGATTCACCAAAGTCTTACATGTTCAATAAACATTTCTTCAAACCTCTTACAAGTAAATAGCAGCATGGAACCTTCAAGTATATAATGTACACTGATAACTGCCATGTAACATTTATTACCGATTTCTAGAATCCACCCATCTTCTAATGATACGGTAGCAATCAAAATTAGGGAAGAGAGACATTTTTGTAATGGACAAATTGACAGCTTATCCAAATTCAAAGATATTCGAACGTGAATAGATGTAATTCAATCATATTTCATCAGTAAAAGATGTGCCACACCATAAAATAAATGGTTTTAGCAAGAAGTTTGAAGAAAGCATGCGATCAAAATTAGAGAACGGTTACATTTTTTTTTTGTAGAAGAAGCCTCAACTTTTGACGGTTACAACTTTCAGAGATTAATAGGAAGCATAGAGGCCCTCGTTTTCAGTGACTGGCTCATTGGTGTCTGCAGTGCACGACCCGCCTCTCACGCTGCTCTGACTTGAGCTTGTTCCCCTTGTCTTCCATTTTCTTCTAGTTTGTAACTGTAGTGCCTTTCTCATAAGCTGTAGATGAGCTGTGACATTGTATATATCAAAAGCGTCTCTTGTTCTCTAATTTCGATCACCACTGTATAACCAGTTATTCTGGTCAGGCTGCCAGATCATCTTCAGGCACAACGGGCAATTTAGAGAGAAGCAAACTCTGCTTACGTAGAGCAACGGCAGGATTCAACCGATAACCCTGGAGGTGTGAAGCAAAAGTGCAAACCAGTGAACCGTCATGTGGACTTCAAATGCCCACAGTTAGTCATTTCAAACACTTAATAAATGAGAAACACTAAACCTTTCATAAAATATTTCCCCACTGTAAGAAACTGCAAATAAAATAGCAAGTACTCTGCAAGCTCACAAAAAGGGTGTTTTATTTATAAAAGCCAAAACACTTCACAAGTTGACTGATCCATCCATTTTCCAACTGCTTATCCAGTACAGTGTCATAATATACTTCATTTCATTGGATGTCAAAGTAAAAAGAAAAAAAAGATTAAACAGAATCCTGAATACTGAGACGTTAAGATTTCACAGGTGCTACAAAGCCATTAACTGACAGGATTACACATTAAAAAGAGAAATTCCCAGCTGATCAGCGTGATTAATCCCCTCAGTCTCATCTGCAGCTCATCATAGTACCAGTTTGAACAGGGATTCCTTCTCTCTCACTCACACACACACACACAAAATTATTTTTTTCCAAAGGGAAAACAAGTTAGTTGGGTTAAGGTGTCCCGCTAGCTCCACCTTGGCTCAGCTACCTTCCCTCAGAGTTTGGAAAAAGGCACTTCTTTGGGACTCTTCTTCTCCATGCTAGCCTGGGCGGACTTAATGACATCCTGCGTCTGCAGCATGCTCATGTTCCACGTGGCCTGAAACGGAGAGAGTCAGCATGACGGGGATGACAGAGTCCCATTCGCAGTTGGGCGGTAAGATAAATAAAATGATGATCATCACTATCATTGTGTTTTGCCCCAAGCAGCACACTGTCTTCCCTTCCCAGAAATAGAGGGAATGTGTGGGTTGAGCCTTAACACCAGGTGAGTCCCCATCAGCATCTTAAACGCAAAAAAGCCCGATCAATGTGTTGATTATTAGTAAACTGCGGGAGGACAGAATCTTTTAATATGGTTCATGGTTGAATTCTTAAAATAGATTCATTTGTGTGACAATTGACATTTAAATATAAGTGACTGATAAAAACTTATGAAAGTTAGAAGTTACTGTTTACTGTAACTATTTAGTTTCTGATTATACAAACCAAAATGTCTGAACAGTGTCTCACGCCCATCATCCAATCAAGACAGAGCAAAAAACGGTCTGTCAGGCTTTCTTGATACCACTGTACCCATCAAAGAGTTTGAAATTTTTACAACAAATGGTTTATAAGTTGCATACATCACAAGGACCAAATCGACCGGTGACTTCATATGTTCCGTTGTTCAATTCTGCTCCATCAGACACCTGCAGTCGTCCTACTGACAATATGTAGGGCATTTCTACCAAGGCATTGAAAGAACTGAAGCCAGTCATTTGAATAATCTGTAAGCCTGAGTCCATTGGCAGAAGGTTCCTCTCTTAAAGCCATCTGTTTCAGGACTTTGACGGACAGCAGTGAATCACAAGCATAAGGCTTATTCTAAACAATAATGTTTTCGAAGATGCTGCTTTGTATATTTCGGGCCATCAAAGATAAGCCACTTATCTGCCTCACACAGAAGCCCTCCATCTGTCCCGTGCTTTGTGCTTCATTTCCATTTTACAGTGAAAATTTGAGCAACAGTTTCAGATACGTAAGTGCGGCTATCATCTCTTCTGCACTAGTTCATCTTGCGAGGAGGCCTGTCGCCATAACTACTTCGGCCAGACGATATACTGTCCCAGACAAAAACTTGTGATATACGATATTAGTCATTTTAAGATCGTTTTATGCCACTGACATAATGCTAATATATTAGCATGGTAATGCAAGTATACACTTTCAAAGAGCAATGAGCTTTTAATTCCGAGGAATATTCAGACACTGGTATTGGAATGTAAAAAACAATGTAAATATCCTAGACAAACAAAACCACAGAAAGAAAAAAAATCAGATAAAATGGACTCTCGGGCTCTGTTAAAAACTGCATTATATATTAAACATTCGGCACAAGAGTATAGAGTGTCATTTTTTCCTTTACAGAAAATATACCATATACTAGATGGAAAGTTGTAGGACTTTGCTGGCTACTACAAGATGCTGCGACGTGGTGTAAGTTCGTTGCACGAGAGGCCCAAAGATAAATCATTACTTTAGTGAAATAGAATTTAAAAACAGTAACGGGAAGTAGGGATCTTAGTTGGTTTTGGAAGCAACAGCTTTAGTTGTCCTTTTCCTTAGTGATTGTAACCCTGCCTTACGTACTGGAAGTACATAGTGCAAAGTTAGTTTTAGTAAAATTCTTACTAATTCTTATAACATCCATACCACACTTCATAAATGTGACTCTTAGGAGCAGCTTTGCCTGGTGTGTAGAAGCATCAACATTCAGGACCGCGGACTGTCTGGCACCACGTCATGCGTGTCGTTGCACGAGCACTTTCCCGGGAAGTATGAATCGGCCCTGAGCCACGTCTGTGACAAGGAGCAGACGACAGGGCAGAGGCGGCGAGGCTGGAAATGGTGTTGGGGGGCATTTATTATCATGTAAACACAATTTGCTAATATCAAGGTCACTTATGTCCTTAACTATTGTAACGTGATTAACATAACTTGCCTACTTGCAAGTAGCTATTTTTCAGCATAGGTTAAAATGTAAACATTGCAGCAAGTGTTGGCATTCGTGCATGCAGCGACTGAACGCTTATCAAGACATAACTTCTTTCCTTATATATATGATATACACACATACATACGTAAGCCTGCAGAGAGATCTCAGAGAATGTGGTGACCAGACATAACAAGAACGGAAAAAGAAGCTTGTACAGGCAGTTTAATCTTCGCTGATGCCATCCATCATTGTGACTAATATTAATTTACACCACTCCCACTGTGGGTATGGGTTTCACTTGGCCAGGACTGCTGCACAAACACCATCACAGCAACGAGCACATGAGTACTTGGTTTCAGGCCTGCTGAGTATTTGAGTACGCTCCTTAGAGTGCAGTAACAGACTTTGGGGAGATCAAAGTAAGCCAGACCATCTCGGAATGTTTTGCGTCTGTTCGAGTGAAACACCTTACCATATACTCAAGCCCCTCTGCTACACTGTGGTCTCTGGAGTAGATGAGGTTGATCTTGGTTCCCTGTACAGCGACTGGGCTGCGGGATGCAATCTCTTCGGCCAGCTCCATAGCCCCAGACATCATCGTTTCCTTGTCTGGAAACACGCGACTGCAGAGGTGAGATGAGAGGTAGTTAGTACTGTTAGTACTGTCCCTTTCAGTCTGCAATAAATAAAATTTAAAGCTGCCGCCTGCCTTATTCTAAGCCTTTCAGCACAATGTTATCTTTTGTAATATTTCTACATTTTTTCTCTTTATTCATTACCCCTATAGCCTATATTCCTTATTTATACCGTACTTTATGCAGATTTGTCTACGTAGCCTCACTACATGCATTTCATGTACAGATACACATACGTACTTTGCCATACTGTTCATATGATAAATGATAGAAGACAGATAATTAATGGCTGCTCGCAGGCTTGTCGTAACGCTATAAAAAACTGGAAGTGATCAAGAGATTCTGCAAACTGTCTTGCAGAGTTAGACAGCGCAGATGAACAAAAAAATAATTGGTACCTGACCAATCCACTGCTCTTCGCTTCATCAGAGTACATCTTCCTGGACGTGAGAGCCAGCTCATTGACGAGGCTGCAATGAAGATATGACCCAACACCAAAGCATCCGAGAAAATTAACTGGAAAAGAATGGAGTGGAGCGGAATAATATTCGATTAAGGAAACAAACAATGCTCTAGGGCAGCGTTTCCCAACCCAGTTCTCGGGGATTCCCAGACAGTCCATAGTTTTGTTCTCTCCTCACTCCCTATAGACCCATGCCAGGTATTCAGAGTTCTGAGCAAAAATGTGCACGGTCAAGGGGTCGCTGATGCCGGGGTTGGGAAGCACTGCTCTAGGACCCCTTCCGTCTTACCTTCGGCTCCCGATGACCTTAGGAAGACGTTGTAGAGTCCCAACATCTGCTGCCAAGCCAATGTCCACTTCCTATGGCCATCAGACCACCATGTCAAGTTGTGCAATACTGAACTACCTTCACAAAAATTTGCCAGACGCAAATCCATCCGAAAGAACAAACGGGGGAAAAATTTGAATAAATGAAGGTTTTCTATCAGCCTCACCTCTTTCATGTTACCCTCCCCATAACCGTTCATTACGCATAAATGTTTCTACAGTAATGGTCTCCTTGGCTTGGTGGGATCATACCAGACATAACTGGGCAGGCAGTGATACCTTCCAGTCTTACAGAACATCAACTAACAAGTAACAGATCAACGAGCTGCTAATTTTTATGCACGTGCAGCAGGACATGTTTGAATAAATAGACAGACAGACAGATAGGATTAGATTTGATAATCCCAGAGGTAAATTCTTCAACTTCTTTTTAATACTTACTACCCACTTAACACTATATAGTCAATACAGAGTCAGTCTTACAGAGCCTTCTGTGATGAGCGTTTCACATGCTAAAGAATCTATGGTGCCCATAAATTACTGAGTGCCTTAACAAGCCCTCACATGAAGTCATGTCTCAGGTTTATTTCTTCCTCCCTCATGATAACAATTACCTACTGTTTCGTTTGGTATGTGAGCTGATTACCGCAGACTTTGACTGCCAGACAAGTTTATTTCTAAACTTGGATTGGTCTGTAGCATAAAGCATGCAGTATATCATCCAAACAAGACTTTTTGGAATACATTGGCCTATTTGATTCCTATTCCTATTTGACTTGGGGGGAGAGACAGAGAGGTTGATTATTTTTTATCAAAAAAAAAAAAAAAAACCTAATTCATTGACAATAAAAAGGAAAACTGCCTTCTTTAAAAAGGGAAAACGAACTTTTGGATGATGCAAAAATTAGTCTTTACCTTGACCTGGAACCAAGCATCCTGTGTGCAGAGACGGATATCACAGGCGGTGATCAGGTCCACTCCTGTGTCAAGGGATCATCAAGAGAAACAAGGTGACTACAGGCAGTGCCCAGGTTACAAACCAGATCCATTCCCTAAGTGTATCATTAAGTCTAATTTGTAGGTAAGATGGAAAAATAATGATACAGTACATAATAATAATTTTTCAATAATAATAAAAGCAACTGCATACAGTACTGTACAGCACCTAGAGCAAATGAATTGCTAAAGCCACATTGTTTTCATAAACATCACAAAGCATGCACATTTATTATTATGATCCACTGTATCTAACCCAAAGTTTTAATACAATAGGCTTTACGGCGATCCCTTCGTAAGTAAGAGTTGTCCAAAAGTCAGACATTCTTAACCCGGGGACTGTCTGTATACCATCACAGGACTGTCACACTTACACTGGCATGCTGGCTTATTTTGTGCAGAATTCCTTACCAGCTCCCACGCAAGCTCCGTGTACTGCGACAACCACAGGCTTTGGACACTGTAGAGTGACAGAGAACACTCACACACACACACACACAACCAGTGTATCCCACACAAAGCATTTAAAAACACATTTTACTACCAAGTACTTATACACATAAATGCTGACTGAGGAATACCACATTTTCTGCTCAGGGCAAGTTATTTTGCCAAGTTTAATAAAAAGGTACAGTATAATTGCACAATACTCACAGAGCCTGAGGATAGTAATCAAGGATGAACTTGACAGGAGTTTATATATAAAACAGAAGCCAGGAACCAACCTTTTCTAGAACAGAAAAAGTCTCCTGATACTTCTTGACAAGGCGGCGCAAATTCCATGAAGTTCTTGCAGCATCGTCTCCTGTTGGTTGAAGGATATTTCCGGCCATGTCCATCAAGTCAATCCCTAAAAGGGAAGACACCGCACTTTCTGTAGTTATGGAAACAGTCTGGACGTTCACGTTACATTAAGCACAGTGGGCACCAGCACAGACTCAACAAGTACCACCCAGCTACCTGATGTGAAGACTTTGCCTGCTCCGGTTACCACGACAACCCGACATTCAGGGTCCTCAGCAATCTGAGAAAAGCAGTCCACCATCTCACTGGGAAAGTTCAATCAAAATAAAAAAGACAGAAATGCATAAATATATCTCCATAAACTTAAAATACAAATGAAAATCTAATATTTTGTGATGTTGCTTTGGAAACGTATAATTTTATCTGGTGATAATCTAGATAATGTCTAAAATTGCCCTGAAAGCAGAGTAAATGGGAATGCTACAGATTATGTGGTATTTTTGCCATATTTACAGTATTTTCATTACTTATTAGTTTAAAGTAGTCGTCTTTACCCATCTGCCAAATTTGCACATGCAAGGGAAAGATACTGTAAATTCATGCGGCATATTATGTATTTAAAACCTGAAAGGTAATCGCCATACATGCTGAGACGTTACTCTGCACATGCTGCAACAAAAATAAAATGAGATAGACGGGAATGGTTTCCCTTAAGTTTGCAAACCGTACCTCCAGAAAGCTTTGTTCATGGCGTTGCGCTTTTCCGGTCGGTGCAGCTCCACCTGAGTGACCATGCTGGCTGGGCGGGTCACAGACAGGGTGGAGAAAGGCGGAGTGGGGCCTCCCTGGGTAGACATCTCCCGAACAGCTCTAAGCCCCGGCAGCCACAGTCCTCTGTCTAATAAATAACAGCAGAATCTGGCGTTTATGTAAATCCAACAGGAAACGCGAGTCATCATAATGTCTACTTCTTAAAACTGCTAGACCGGCTTGAATAACATATAAAGCACACTGTATTATTATTATTATTATTATTATTTGCACGTTAATTCCGTTTCATATTGATCAATGCTCAGTACAACTCGCTGTAAAATGATTTTATGGGGTCACCGTCCAGACAGCTGTAACCTTCCAACCGGTGTTCAATAAACATACATAAAGGTTAGTGTGCCAAAGACTGAGTTACATAAACACAGTAATTCTCCATTAGAAAAAAACTGGAACATACACATAACGTGTCACGCAGCCTCAAAAGAAGGAATGAAATTATTTCATTTTGGCATGCATTTTTTGCAAGCAGTTTACGTCCCTTGCAAATCGCTGTACTTTTTTCAGTAAAAATAACATTGTTAGCGAGTCTCCAGTGCAAACACCTTGCTTCCTTTTTCTTTCACTTACCGATTTCCATCACAAACTCAACAAATCCGAACTCAAAGCATTTTAAAAGATACAGCCCCGAAAGTACATAGATCACAGATCCATGGAGAATGGTTAAAAAAGGGCTAAAATCGAGTCTCAGAATATTAAAAAATACTTACTATAGCTCGATACATGCAGTGTCACTTACTTCTTATGAAAGCAGAGCAGACAAGATAAGCCATTGACCTTTGCACGTCCTTTAAATGTTGTGTTATGCAACCCAAAGGCAGCGCTTACAACGCTAAAATTATTTTAACAATTGTACCAAATGGCTAAACTTAAATATTCGCACGATGATAGCTTTAGCTCGTTTATTTGTATAACGTCCCAGGGCTGGTTGTGATCATACGCTTACTTTATATGACTCTGCGTACGGCGGCCGGAGAGGCTCAAAAGAACCTGCTAGAACTTAATCCGAGGTCGGCGTTGTTCCAATAGCTGGAGGCGCTTTACCCAGAAACAAGTACCCGTACTTGTGTAAACCGCTGCAACTTTTATTTTCAAGTAGCTATAACATATCTAAATTGCCGTCCAATATTGAAACGTTATAAATATTAACTAGGGCTACTACTGAAATAATGGAAATGATTGCATTGGATATTTCTGTAGTGGAAGACTTAGTGGTTAGTGAGTAAACTAAAACCTAAGAGATATCAAAGTACCGGATGCGAAATGTTTTTAATCCATAATTACACCCGGTCCATAGACCGATTTTTCGTTTTCCACATAAATCATTTCGCCAATCCACGTCAAACTCGGCAAGTTTCACCGCCTTTTCAAAAAAAAATATACGACTCAGTTTTTCATTCTTAGGCTGCACGGTCTTAACCCTTTCATGATCAAATGAAGTTTTAGTAAAGACAGGACAACCAAGTCCTGCAGTGGTACTTCTGAGTAAAAAAAACTCATAAAATATGTATGTGGGGTAATAAGGTAGTTAGTTTTTAACTGTTGCAAATCAGCAACGCCTACCTTGAGAGGGTTAAGCGAATTTTAAAAGGATATGGTGGATTTTGTAAGATCAAAAGATTTGTACAGCGGTATGAGTACTTATGTACACGTGTTCCTAGGAACAGCCACCTGTCATGTTATACTAGCAGGATGCACACCAACTACGCAAGTAAAGACAGTGCACAGAATCGAACTTTTACATTTTATTTTGGAACAAACAAAAGATGCAATACTTTCTTCCTTTTAGTTGACTTCCCAGGAGGTGTAGTGCTGTAGAGACAGCAAAACGTCAAATGGAAATAAAAAAAATTCAGGGGGAAAAAGAAAAAAAAAAAATACAAAAGCGTTTCTCTTAATCTCTCAGTAAAAACAACCTTCTGTGCGTCAGTGTCAGTCACGTGTGGCTTCTGCAGCTCCACAGTAAATAAAGACAACAAAACTGTACGGACACTCACACACACATACACGCACACACACACACACAACTTGTACGAACAATACAAGATATTCTGGATAGAAACTAAAAAGGTGTGATGTGGTGCTAATCTAGCAGTCGCTAAAGAACTGGCTGCCAATTAATTTGCATGCTGCGCAGTGGAGAAGCACAACTTCAGGGTATAAGGGTATGGACCATCTGGGGAAGAAAGGCAGACAGCACTGGTTACTCATGCAGCATTTGACAGCTCGCACAAATGGAAGGATGTTCGGAAACTCACTGGGATTCTTCATCTGGTAGTGGTTCATCATGGCTAGTGCCTCCATGGCGTCATTGATGGACTCCCACTCCAAAAGGCCGGATGAGCTACGCTCACCTGTACCCCCACCCGAGGCGAGAGACACAAAGTCCAATTTATTGATACGGCGTGGTTCCCTACTGCTTACGTTGACTTTTGAAAACATCCATCTCACAGCTTAACAACCGATGACTGCCTTAAACTCCTCCTGACGAGTACACACCAACTACTGAATTTACCATCCAACAACTGACTAGCAGATGTTGAATACGCAAAACTGCCCATTATCAAGAATGAACGATGTAGTTTGTTATGCGATTCCTGTTTTGCAACGTTGTTGAAGACTCATTGTTCGGTTTTATTACAGGTCATTATAAGAGACTGAATGGGGTTATTGATACAGGAAAGAGATGCAATTTCAATGTCTTCAACCCATATACTTACTCTTTCCTGTGAAGAGTTTAATGTTGGAAGGACTCTTCACCCCAAGCTCCTCGCAAATCTGAAATATGCCAGATGTTTAAAAAATCATGTGAGGGCAGGGGGACACACAAATTTTCTAGTACAAAGGAAAAGAACATGATACACAGGACACACCTGTGTGAATATCTCAGCAGTGACATCAGGCTGAGCATTGAAGAAGTGTAAGACGTTGCTGGGGTGCTGAATTCGGTTCTTGGCGGCCTGTTCCGGAGAGGTGAAGCGGTTGTTCCGGGTGCCGTGGAAGTCTTTGAAGCTGCTGGTTCCATCCTCCAGCTCATAGGATTGCCCAGGCATAATAGCCTGCTGCTTAGACACACTGGTTAGGGAGAGAACAACGAGAAATGAGGAACTGAACTTATTTGCGCCCAGAAATCAACCTTGTACATTGTCAGAAGCTTATACCCGTAAATCACTGCATATCAACCATGCCAACATAGGGATATAATAGTGAAAATGCAAGAACTTACCACAGATTGAGTTTCTGTCCAAAGAGGAAGTTGTTATTAAGGTGGGTGATGGCACGGTCCACAGCATAGCAATCCCCCATCTCCACCATGGCTGCTCCAGGCTTGCTCTTCATGAACTTTACCTGAACAAAACAAAAAGTCACTGAATTTTAGATTAGCCTGGTTTTACCGATCCGAGGCCTAAAAGACGACTCGTCTCCCTTTGACGACTCAAGCAGGCAAACAAAAAAACCAACCTACCCGTTCCACGTTGCCATAGAGGCAGAAAACATTGAAGACCCTATCAGCGTTCATCTTGGAGGGTTCTAGGCCGTACACCATGACAACAGGAGAGTCGGCGTGGGGGCTGTACTCCCCTGGTGGAGGTGGGGGGGGTGGGTGCCCATACTGGGGCCCTCCATATCGCTGGTTATGTCCCCCTCTTCGAGGGCCCCCCATCGGAGGGCCCATACGGCGGCCCTCGTAGTGAGGGGGAGGGGGCGGCCCATAGCTCTCATCATGATAATGGCCGTGGTAACCACCCTGTGGCCCCCCTGATGGAACAAGAGACAGACATGAATTTCTGGCAAGAGACATGGCAGGAGGCTACAACCGTGCACTGAAAGATGTGAGCTCCAATGACCAAGCCGGACAGACAGACTGAGTGACAGGTTCACAGCATCTCCTTGCTGCCACTGCACACCAGCATGTGTCATTCAGCAACCCCACCCCGCAACAGCTGCACTGCAACTGAGGTGCCACCAGAAGAGGGTGCTCTCCCCCCTCAAGGACACAGGCCCCAAGAGCCTTACCATACTCTGGAGGGTGGTCTCCCAGCAGAGCCGGCTGTCTCTGGCGCTTGTTGGGGTTGGCATTCATATCTGAAGAGCGAGAAGAGGGAAGGAAGAGGAAGGAAGCAGAATGTGATAGGTAAAAATTTTTTTTTTTTTAAATCACAGTGACAGAAACAGTTTTGCACAAAAGTTTAAACTCATCCAGGCACCGAGCAGAACAGTACAGGACCCATGCGCTCACACATACCAGTAGGAAGCAGCAAAGTTTACTCAGCCACATAAAACGCAATCGTGATACTAAAGATGCGCAAGGTAATGCCTAACAATCTGTTAAAATTGTTACAGTGCGACAAGCTAGTCTGATAGCCAAAATACACAACACAATGGGTTCTGTCCACGTTTCCTCTAATGGAGGGGGCTCAAAATGACAGAAAAGCCAGGAAATAACTAAACGCGTCAGGGTAGTGGAAAGAAGGCGCTGCTGTGAATACATTTACCCCCCCCCCCTTCACTACAAACACACCTTGTGCGTTGTTCCATTTGCCATCTCCATCTAAACAGATGCACATATGAATGGTAGATACATGTTTGGGAAAACAGTACTGTACACTGTACTAAAGAGGAAGCAGGCAATTCACACAGCAGCTCACATCTGTCATGTCAAATTTGCAGTATCAAAAGCATGGTAACACATACCAAGAAACCTCATTATGAATCTGCAATTGTGTGAGGGGGAAAGTTATACAAGAATTGCACATGGGTAGACAAATAACATGATGGAAATTATTCATGACAAGCTATTAGTTATAGATATTATAATAAATACACAGCCTATCAGATTGTCACCTCACATCCTGCAATGTCTCACTATATTGGCTTTAGTCAGTGGCAAATCTGTTTTATAAATTACAATACACAGATGTATGTAAAACTATGTAATGGCTTTAGTGATTTTGGTCTGCCTTCAATCCCAGATACCATAAATCTCTAAGAATGAAATCAGAGACAACCCCGACGCCCCCTGCTGGGAAAGGTAACAGCTTTTATTTGCTTCAGCCCAGAAGAACACAAAAAACTTGTCTGAATGAGGGAATCTTTCAGGCTGACTAAATGAACCCTTACCACATAGCGGGGGGAGGGGGAGTCTGGGCCTTTTCCAAGGAAATCTGGACTATTCTGATTCTTCTAAAAGGAGGAATTGACTCAGCTGTGTTAATGCAAACTGTCGGGAGGTGTCACAAAGTCAATGAGGGAACCAAATCAGAAAGGTCCCCTCAACAGCCAAGCGACATGTCACATGTTCATTCACAGTAATAGCCACACAATAAGAACATCGTAGAGGCTTGAAGTTACTTACAGCACAGAATTAAAGGGGAAGGGAGCAAAACGGGCAGTTGGAAACATATGTTGCCGGGGGAGGGGGGGCCAGGGATGATGAATGCACATTTTGGCACCGTCACCCCGTCTGCGTTCTCTTCCACTCCGTTTTCATTTCATTCTTTCCATCCTTCCCTCCTCTTATCAAACAAAGCATAGTTTTGGTTCTTCCATTGGAGCTCGCAGGTTTGTTTGGTTTTGTTTTTTTGTTTTGTCTTTGCATTTGCTGTCGACGGTGCGTGGTGCTTTTGAAAAAAAATAATAAATTTCTGCTTACCGTGCCTCAACCGCAAAGCAGACATTTTGCACCGTTTCAGAAAGACGGATGTCCTCAACAGACACACAATGCCAAACCTGCATCACATAGGAGGCGTTACAAAAGGTGATAAGACTTTAAAAGTACATAAGAGCTGTATTCAGAAAAGAAACCTGGTTTTGGAAATGTTCAAGGGGGGAGAGTCAACACAGGGAGGAGGGATGTTGAAAAAATAGGTGAAGGGTAAGGGGGGTGGGAATAAAAACACCTGTGTCCATGAAGTAATGCAGACCCTTTGGAAAAAAGCATGGAGTGTCTGCCTCTGTCTATGCGTATGGTCACATGTCTTCATG